GGGCAGAGCATCAGAAAGGTGTCTGGGCTCTGAGCAGCGCTGCCTTGGCCAGCTGTGGGCTGGCAGAGAAGTCAGACCTCGCTCCATCCCTGTTGTTGGTGTTGCGCTCCTCCCGGGGGGTGACCTCCTCTTGCTGCTTTGGGGTTGCCTGCACTGCCGGGGAACAGGTAGTGTCCCAAACGTACTTTTTGTTTCAGCAAGGAAAAGCCTTAGGGTGCAGTAAGACAAGTTGTTTTGGTTGCAGAAAATCCAGAGGTGAAGAGGTTACCATCCCCAGCCTATCTTCAGCTTCCTGTCACCAGCACCTGCTGGAGGTTATCTGCTCTCTGCTTCCATCTCTGCATGGCAAGCTACTCTCTAATCCTGTTCTGTCAAAATGATCCAACGTTTTAAAAGTCCTTTTTAGGCTCCATCAGATCATTCTGACAGAATGAGGCTAGGAAGCATCTACAAGTGCAGTTGGCTGCAAGTAGTACGAGTGCAGATGCTTGGAGATCTGAGGGCTGTGACCTCTGGAGCAAAGCAGGAGCAGGGGACAAGGTGGGCCTGGGCAGCATCTCCTTAAACCAGCAGCTGCAGCCAAAGTAGTGGAGCTGCCCATGACTTTTGCAGTTTTTAGCAATGAAGCTCAGCTTTTAAAACTCCTGAACTGCAGGTGCTCGAAGAGAAGTGGCACTAACCAGATCTCTGAAAGCAGATGGTGATCTCTGCCATTCTGTCTCTGCTGCCTTGTTGCATCAAATGCATTCTTCCCAAGACAGCTTCACTCCGTCAGCACAGAGACATGTGGGTAGGAAAAGGGAAAAAATATATAATCCTAGAAGAAAATAAAACCAGTGCTCATCTGAGATAGTGGGAACTAAAATATTTTACAGCAGTGCAACATAATGGTATACTTACAGAGTGATATCTGCTGTAGAGAAATTGCCAACAAGGTTAATACACTCATATCACAGCTATATTCAATTCAAAGATATACAGATCTGTAGTGCACTGAATGAGTATGTTCTGTCTGTGAGTGTTTGTAAGACAGATTGCTGCTAGACAAAGACATACTTCCTATATATTAATTTGCAGAATGCAACATGGTGTTACACTGAACGTGAAGCATGAGAAATCAGACAGTACAGGCAAAGTTTTTGAAATTATGTGCATAAGATGCTGTTATGTTATTAACTAAAGGGCGTCTTTGATTAAAGGTTTGATTAAGCCAGCTTTAATTTCTCCTAAATTGATTGATTTCCCCTAAAAGAATCTGCATACTACGCATGGTCCCAAATTAATTCAAAAAGTCTAGTTATCAGATTGTGTCTTAATGGAAGTAAGAAGCTTAGCTCACTTGTAAGTGGAAGGTCTCCAAGCTCTGCGATAGCAACAGATGTATGGATCTGTAGTATCTAGGTGAATGAGGACAAAGGAGTGTTTCAGTTTCATGTGTTGTGTTATTTATATCCTTATGTCTGAGATTTCATCCAGCACTGTCAGATAATACTATTTGTGAAGTACTTCAAATTCTGTAGTTTATGATCTAGATCAGGAAATAGACACACGACATTTTTAACTGCATGTGTTTCATGTATCTCTTAAGCTAGAGAATTAAGAGCTTTAAAATTGGGCTAATGCTTTTTACTATCTATTTTCTTTGGAAAAGATTGAAATTTCCCAGGCTTAGACCCTTTTTCTGTTTCTTTATGACATCGTAAAACCAACATAAAAGATCCGGTGGAAACTCAGTCAGGAGGTACAGGTCCAGCAAAGCATCTTCTTAAACAAATCGTTAACCCGAGGGTCATAGTTGAGAAAAGCACCTCAGCAGTCCTGAGGCTGCTCTGTGTTGGATATGCATGTCGGTATGAACAGCAGAATCTGCAGCTCTGTGTAAGGAGTATCTTATTCCAGAGAACTGGCCCTTTTTCTTTATTTTATGCAGGTTGTACAGCTTCATATGTATCTGAAGGTGCAAACACTATTTAGTAGGCAACTGCAGAGATACTCCTTCAGCAAGTCCTTACTAGCTTTGACCTTTCTAATTTTTTGAACAAAAGTTAAATTGTAGCTGTCCTGAAAGTGAAATAAATATTTCCATGAATCAGAGAGCATGAACGATCAACTTAGCCCAGGACTAGGCTTTTAGTTTTATTTTTCTATGTGGAGTTAGCAGCACAATCATGTACTAGAAAACTGTCATGTATTGACTGACAACAAGCAAAATTGCTGAAGTACATGAGACCTTTAAAGAGATCTTTTTTTTTTTTTAAAATGTATGCCTGTCTTGTTCAAGTCACTTCCTCCAGCCAAAACCCAGTGTCTTTTCTCTGTAAAAACAACTGGCCACATCCTGAGAGATACTGACCACTGACTACTGTCCTCTGTCATTTCCAACTAAATGTCATTGACAGTTCTAGCCTCTGCAAATTCAGCTCTTGCTGGACTTTCATTATTCTTTATTCAGGCAGACCTTTTCCTGAAATCAAAATTTTCTTAGGGCTGACCTGTGACAGCTTTTGAATCACTGTAACTATATCACAGATAAAGTTAAAAGCAGTGGAACTTGTCAGTTTAAATACATTGGTACTGGTTTATAAGAGCCCCTGCTTATTTCTTTGTTTTTACAGAGCTTTACAGATTTAACTGTATCTGTACAAACACATTTAAATGATTTTTTTTTTAATATTGAATGCACACAAACTAGAAATCATAACTACAGGAATTGGCTATTTGTCTGTATTCCCCGATTCTCCTCTTTGATTTCTGCTTTCCTTGTCAATGACTGAGGCAGAATGATAGATAGTCACAAAAGCAATCTAAAGTCACTCCACCGGAGCGATTGCAGCTGGTGTAGAAGCCTGAGTAGTGCAGGTGCTGCTTTCACCGTAGCGGTGTAATAGTGTGGATCTCGGCACAAACTCACATTTTTATTGTTTCTAGTGGTACTTGCTCCTACAGCGACACTTCCAGCAGTCCCTGCGCTGACTTACCAACAAGTTCAAGCTGAACAAATTGCAGCATTTTTAGATAAACTAGCCATTGTTAGTGTAGAACCTCGAAAACCTTCACAATACCTAAGCTCTGCCTTTTCTGTGCATACTTCAGGTATTGGGACTTCTAAAACCAAGGGGTTTGAGAATGGTATATATAGAGGAAGATTCATAATGATCTAACAAACATTAATGAATCTCTTCTAAAGGTTTGGGGATCGCTGCCAGACTGGAAGAGTTATCATATTGTTTCCCTGGGCCGCATTGCTCTGGCACTCACCGAACATGAAATCGAAGAGCTGGATTTGCATTCTATCGACACCATTTCTGTACTTAGTCAGCAAACAGAATGGACTCCTACCCAGGTAAGTATGTTATTGAATGTACTCCTGGTGAAAGGCTCTGGATTCGCGCCCTTTGGGACTGAAGCCCTGGAATCGTGTAGGAAACAGATACAGCAATCCACACTAGTCCCTGCTGCTTTTCTGCAGCTGTGACCCCAGTGAAAGTGGGCAGGTAGGTCAGCACTGATGTCTCCCTGGCTGCTGGCTTCCCTGGTGAGATGGCCAAGAGGGCATCCATCAATATTAGTTGTGGTAGTGATGAGTGTATTCTTTAGCGCTTGCCCACTAAGTAGCGGAAAGAGGTCAGCCCCTCCTCTCCCTCTGGCCCCAGAATAGACGCTACTGCTAGGAGATATTAGCCCTTCCTAACTAAGAGTAATCACTGAAGAGGTAGCGTACCCCCCGACCCCGGCATCCATTGCCTTAGAAGCCTAAGTTATTAGCAGATGTGCTCCTCTCATCTTCCTTTCCTTGAATAACTTCTAGTTATGCCAGTGGGACTTTCATAATAAGAGTTAAAAGCTTTTATTTGTATATGCAATTGGCAGCATACTTCTGACTGTGTGACCCATCCCATCAGGGCTCCTCAGCTGCACAGGTGCTGGTATGGTTGCAGCCAGCTTTGGCAGAATATCACAAATCTGGTTAATAGATTCTTGTTCTGAAGAGCATTATCAGAAGGAAGCACTTGGGAGGATTTTATACAATACTAGTTGGCTTTCGAGGTTTTCTGCTGTCAGTAAGAATAGCTGGTTAAAAGAGATTCATCCTGCCTAACTTCAGTTGTCTATAAGTTAGGCAGCTAGTTTAAGCTAGCCATTTGAGGCTCAGCATTGTGGATAGATTAGGAAATCTTGGAAGATGCTTGTTTCTTTCACTGACTTTGGAGGATGCCTTGGTGGCAGGCTTAAGCTAGACACACGATTTTTAAGTGGTTAGTTTAGGATGAGCACCATCCTAAATGACTTAGGCTTGCAAAGGCATTTTGGTACCAATATCCCATTCATATCTGAAAATTAATCCTAAACACAGGTCACCACCTATATATGACACTTAAATAAGACAAGACAACCTGAGTATTAGAAAAAAATTTCATATTGATCCCTTGAGGAATTTATGTTCTAGCAGTTTAATTGAATTGGGCGGTTTTGCTAGGTGCTTCAACGCCCGTTTCTTCTGGTGAAGTGTTTCCTTGTGAGCCGGCAGAAGAGGTACAGAGCGCTTTCAACTCACTTGACTTGGGAAGTGGTTGTGTAACAGTGCCCTGTTCAAGTGTCACGTATAGGTGGTGACAGCGCTCCTCCTGAAGGCCATGGCCAAACTCCAATTAATTACATTGGAGAGCCTCAGGATTATATATGGTCCATAGCTTCTGGTAAGATTTTGAGCTTCTAGTAACAAAACCTTCAATTATGTTCACTCTGTTCATGCATAATATCTTACTGCTTTTGTAGGCAAGATCTATTTTGCAAGGTTTTCTACAAGACTCTGGCCAGACGATCAGTACACTAAAAAGCTTTGATTTGGTTGGATTAGGAGCTATTCTCTGTGCTCTGAACTCCACAGAAATCATGTCCGTAAGGACTGCTGAATTCAGGTACTGCATTTGATACTTAATGAAATATTTATTAGTATCTCTATTGATAAAATTTATTGTGCAGTTTGTTTTCCTTCAAGATTTCCAGAGCCTAAAGGACACTTTTTTACATTTTAAATGCTTTTAGAAAGGCAATAACTGTTATAGAAGGCGTACGCTAGTTGTTTAAAATATATTCTATTTTAGATTTCTTCTGCCATTTATATCCCACCATTTAAGTATCGCATTGAGAAATTCCGTTTTTTGCTCAAAGCATTAAACATTTGTATGCAATTTGTGTACATATATTTTAACTTGAAAATGGGTTTACAGTCTTCTTACAGCAGACTAAGTATATTCCAGGAATATTTAGTATTGCATGTAATTGTAGCATGTCACATTAATCTTGTTGCCTTTTGCAGTGCTGCTGTTGCAAGAATTGGCCTGTTGTTTTGTAGCACCCCTGTTCTGAGACAGTTTAAGAAGATGACAGAATCCGTGTTTGGTACTGCTGCCAGCTGGAATGGCTCTATTTTGCAGGAGATTGGTACTATAGCCGGTAACAAAATTCAGACTCCAGATGGTGATGGTTCTGAAGCATTGTTATTAAGCATTAAGAGACAGGTTCACGTAGCAGTGCATTTTTCTAGACTGGCGAAAGACATTTCTTCCAGAGAGGAGTCACCTGCAGGGACAGACATCCAGCAATTTCCTTGGCACTAAGGAAAAGTCATGGTATTCTCCATAAGGTTCTCTGAATCTGCTCAAACCGACTTTGGGGAGCACAGCCTGAAGTCATTTGGGTCCTCTAAGTTGGAAAGGGTAAATCAAGGAGGGCAAAAGCAACCAGGATTTCAGACCCAGTCGCTCTTTGTGAGCCGTGCTGCTACAAGAGTGGCTGCATTGGGTCAGAGCAGAGCTCTAGCTGACCGAGCATCCTGCCTCCGACAGTGGAAGGGATGGGCTGCCCAGGGAAGAGCAAACAAGCAGGGTTAGCCGGAGTGGCACTTCTCCAGAGTGCTCTCACAGCCTCGGAGACTGCCTGAGCCAGAGGTCACACACGGTTTTGTTCATGGATTTTTTTTCCCTGTGATCATTTAACTGCACGTTGAACTCTTGTAAATTTTAGCATCCCCAGTGCCTGTGGTGATGTTCCACGCTGTAAGTACTTAAAGGGTGAAGAAGTAACTAAGTAACTCCCATTGCGTGCTTATGGTCCTTAATCTTGCATCAGAAGAGGCTGTGAACAAGCATTCCCTAATAACGGTGCTTTTGATTTTATTGATTTTTATCATTGTCTCTTTTCCAAGCTAAAATAACTCAGAGTACATTCCATACCAATGGTTAAGGTCAGATGATTTGTAATGTTGGAGTATAATGAAAGAAAGAACAACAAAAAAGAACGAGTATCTCTCTCCATAATGCACTGAGTAAATAATTTATCGGATATTTTGTATAAATGCTTAAAATTTGTATTAGCCTAAAAATGAATCTAAAAGAATATTAACTGAGTTCTGTTCCTATTGTGGGTTTTTTTAGGTGGTTTGAATGAAGATGAATTAAAAGCTTTTGATAAAAACTTGATGCCCTATTTCCAGCCAATAGCAATAAGATATATACCTCCTGAAATTTTCCAAGTAAGAGCTCATTTGCTGAAGAAGTAACCAAATTTACATCATTTTTTCTCTAGTATAAATAAACTCCAGCACTGATTTATAGTTTGGTTTTGGGTTTCAGAAATAATTTTTCTATGGTGTGTTAAGTGAAAGGCAGTCAAGGGTCTGAAACATAAACTTTCAGTTATATCATCTGTATTTGTGATGCCCATAAAATACTCTAGACAAGCTTTATTTATTCTTCAGAATGCATCCCAAGGAAAAAGCAAAGATCTAGGGTCAGAAAGCAGGGAATGGACTCTTTTTCTTCCAACACTGTATTCAGATCTGAGTTTTCTTCTCTGTTTATTAACATTTGCAAGGATGCTATCATAGCTAAAATTTCTCTGCTGACTATGTAAGAGCTTTTTTATTATCCTAAAATCTGGCAACATTCTCCTGAGTGAGCTCTGAAAAAAAGATTGTACAGGCAGATATGGATCGGAAAAGAATTACATGTAATTATAGCAGTTCTGAATGTGGACCAGAAATTAGAACATGGACCTTGAGATCATTGCCCCAGACTTTATTTGACTTAGTGACAAGATTAATATTCTGCCTAGGCCGGTCTTTTTCAGATGCTCGGGCAAACAAGGTACTTATGGACAGATGAGCTAAACAGATAGTTAACTGTGTCAGCTTCCATAAAAGAGAAAAACTCCTTGAACACTAACTGTTCTGCACAGTACGACGGACAGTTTAGATAAGCCTGAAATGACCTTAGTGAAACTATTTCTTTGAAAAATGGGCAAAACTGAAGATCTATGGCATCTTTCAAATAGCATACATTTTTATTAGTAATAATAGTAATGATACTACAAAATGTGCTTAACAAATAACAGGGCACCTTCTCAGAAGAGTTTTCTGTATTTGAAAGATTCAAAGCAGATTTTGTTTTCACATGGGTTTTTATAACTCCATTTTACAGCTGTATACATTATTCACATTTTGATTTATGATAAATTACATTGTATTATGGACTTTAATTGAGTTAAGAGAGGCTCAGTTCAAAATTTCTGGACCTATAGGCATTTACATGAGTTTACTCTGTTTAAAAGAGCACACCATTTGGTAGACAATGAAAAATCGGGAGGCGTTTGCTCCATTGTTTGACTTACTTGGAAGGGGAATTTAGTCTTTCTAAAGTAGAACCTGGATACAGAATTGTTGCAGCAAAGAAGGCTTGTTGTGTAGGAGGGGTAAAATTCTTGTGACTGCAGAATGTTAACTAGAATCAAAGCAATCCAGCATGCTCAATACATGCAGGCTTTACAAACTGGTTAACTGCTATGTGGTATAAGATAATTACTGTAAGATTATGATTACCATGTTTCATTTTTAAACACAAGTTTTAATATGACCGAACTTGGAAGATTTTCAATCTAAAAGAGAAAATTGAATAATGAGATTAAAGCATGTTTTTTTCCATCTCATTGCTCTACTGCTAACTCTAATCAAAGGTCAAACATAGGTTCAAGTGAGGTTTCTTGAGAGCAGATGTGAGAGGAAATAAATGCAAACACAAAAGGATGCACAATGTCATCGGTCTTTGAACAAATCAGAAAAGAAGTGGCTGGAAAATTAAACTCCAGCAATATATTGAAGAAGCGTCCAATACAGTGTTGGCATAGAAAGCTTCTCAAGCTGTCAGATCCCAGCAGCAAAGAAGAGGGTGAAAGATAGATGAGCGGTCAGTGAAGTATATGAATGCAGAGGATTTTTTTTAAGCTCTATTGAGCTCTTTTATAGCAACACAATGTTGAAGGCTACTTCCCCTCATTCCAAATGCAAGACAGTGCTGACTTCTGATTCCTTACCTGCCTTATATAATTGACAGCCTAAACCAATTTTTCTGGCTTTTATTCCTCCCAGGCATTGTCCCCAGAACAAATAGCAAACCTGGGCCCTGAAAATGCCGCCATGGTTACCAGATCGCAGCGTGAGCATCTGAATGCATCGCAGCTCCAGAGCCTTCAGCTGGCGCTGGATGGAGCCAGGACAAGCACCCCAGAGACACAACACGGTGCAAGCGCTACCCAGGCGGTGCAAACCCCAGCTCCAAGCGGTGAGTAGAGTCACTCCCTCCTCCTGCTTAGAGGAGAAGGACTCACGCACCAGTGGGGTGCGCAGTCTTGCAGCATCCACCAGGATCAGACCTGTATTTTGAAGGTGGGTTACAGTGAATTTTCTAATCAACTGTTTAACTCATGCCTCAAATCACACGCCTGACCAAGACAAATGGCAAGGATGTTGTTGGATTTACCCACAGCAAGAGGTAATGGAGGAAGATTGTCAGATGGCATTAGCAGTTACATGCTGCTAGTAGCATTACACTATGCTAAGCACTAGCTTGTGTAAAATGTAGTCTGAAACAGTGAGCTTTTCCCTCTCCTTCTTTCACATATTCTTTTTTTAAATTTAGGGCAGGACTGTCCATCTCTGGACCTTCAGATCACAACCTTTATCTGCAGCAGAACCTTGTTTGCAGAGCTGCAAGTGGGAAAGGAGGTAGCGGTGGGGTGGATTAGCATCTTTATCCAGACAGTAGGACCCTTTGAACAGTTTTTCCTGCTGTTCCCATCCTATTTGGAATTAAAGCCTATTAGTACCTATGCTTCAGTGGTTTAACATTTTACTTCTCCATATTGTAGTTTATACTGGGCAAGTTACGCTGGCAAGTATGTTAACGGACGTTTTACAATGAGTGAGAGTTTGCACATAGTTAAGCCAGTGTTAAGAACTTATCCCTATCAGACAGCAAATATTGTTGCTTCAAGTGACACCAGCAAGACACAAGCTGTTGAAGAAGAGAGAGGGATGTTGAGGTGCTAAAATAGGAGTAAGGGGGACTAAATTGCTACGATGCCCTTGCTGGAATTAGAGCAGACCTTCCCAGAAGCACCTGAGCAGTGCTCTCAGCCCAGCTCCCTCGCACGTGTGACCTGTTCCCTCTGTAGATATGCCAAAGGGAGGAGTTTTCTGGGTAAAGAGCACCTGAGTTCTTGAGCTTCTCGTTCATTATTCCTGTCTCTAGTGAGTACCGCCCCTATGAAATGTCCTTCAGAGCTGTGTATATTTAACTGGAAGTGACCATTCTGACTGGTGTCATCTTTTGAGCAGCTGAATGTAATTAGGATTCAAATGTTGGAATTTGCTGCACCTCTTTGAGGTGGCGTAAGTAAGACTGTACTAGACCTGAACTGCATCATGACACTAAGACATAACACTTTCTGCTTTTCAGGTGCTCCTTGTTTGAGTGGCTTTGGCATCTGGTTGGGTGCTGTGTTTACACTGCACCTGCCTTTCTGAATCCACGATTGTTAAGCTTGAGGTAAGTTATATTTTCAATAAGATGTAACTTTATAACAAACATAGTTCACCTGTGACAGTGAACAACACAGGGTGAAGGACTGTGGGACCCCCTTCCTGCTTTGAATACAGAGATAACAATTTCTGAATAATTTTGCTGTATTACAGAGGTGTCTTGTACCTCTGTTAGACTATCTTAGAATCTAATCAAGGGGAAAGCGCTTTATCTTATCTTTACTGTAAAGCCAATCTTAACAAAAGTATATTTAAAATTCCATGTAACACCAATCCATTATTTGGAACATGTTCTTAGTATTAATCTGTATTTTGCTTGTTCCAGTCTATTGATAAGATTTTATTCCACAACCGCTTTGATAATCTCCAGTTAAAAGAATGCTGCCATTAGCTTTCATTGGATTTTACCATTTTGACAGGCTAAAATTTAACGAGAGCACTGGTGGTCTTAAGGTATAAATTCCAATTAAGCAAACTAAATGCTTAAGTGTTCTACTTAGTCTTTAAGACTTCAGATCAAGATATGTCAAAAGGCTTAATATTTTTCTTTGCTTTTTGATTTTCAGTGTCCCGGAGCTTACAAAGGAGATGCTAAAGATAAAGAGTTGCAGCTCAGCATGAATAGTAGAATCAAGAGGCTCTGAGATGCCTGAGTGCAAAGTGATTAATTTCTTAAAAGCAACACCTTCATCTGCCATCATGATGTGAAGTATCCCCTTCCCCTACCTTTACCATTAACAAGTAACACAGGATCCCTCCAAATACTTCAGAGAAATTTCAAAACTGGAAATAGCTTATCTGTCTCATGAGAAAATCACTGAAAGATATGCTTACGTGTTAGGGAGGAGCCTGAATGACCTAGGGGACAGGTAGCAGGTGACAGGTTATTTGGAGGCTGATGTTCTGTACCCCGTGCTTTTTACGTTGGCTAATTTGGTCACACTATTGCGTCCATCTGTAGGGTTTTCTTCTTACACTTTGAGTGTACATTCCTCCGGACAGAGGCTATCCTTCTGTGACATAGTAGAAACCATACTAAAAGTTACTGCTGTTGCAATAAAATAACTTCATCTCTGGGCTGCTGGTTTAAATCCTGCTCAGATAAGAAGTGATGACGTGTTCTTACAATTTAAGCACGTGTATGAAATGCAGTTCCCCATGGCTGTATGGATTCAACACAGTACTGTTGACACAGAGGGCATTGGCAATACTATTAGTATTTCATGCGACAAAATGCACCATGGAAACCTGCTTATGTTCATCATGAGATAGTCCCTTCACTTCAGGCAGGTTGAAGTGTACACCTGGGAACAGTAAGGGAAAAGTGTTCACTGGGTCTACATACTACTAGGACTGTCAATCCAGTACTTTCCACAAGCTCTATAATAACGAATTTTTCATAATTATAAACCACAAATATTTTCATGTGTTTTATCAACATATGGCTTACGTGTCAAACGTTTTTTATGCCACACCTCAGTATTTTAAACAATGGAAAAAACAGATATATTAAAAACCCTCTGCATGTGAACATATATTTTGATGTCATTCTACATGATTTCATGCCAAGAATGCATGGGACCGTTTTCCATTTTGCCACTGCAAAGGTCTTTATCTTTCCTAGACTAAAAAAGGCAATGTATAGACTTAAAAGTTTAGCTTTTTCAATTAGGGCTGTATTGTAGTACATACCTTTCAAACTTTTATTTGTACTTCTTTATGGCAAACATTACATCTAGCTTCTCAGAACTGAAAGCAGGACTGAAATTTTGCTACAGGTGGGGAAGCAATAGGAATGGGGCTGAGACGGAGAGCTGGAGGGAAGAGGCTTGCTGCTTTTGCTGCTGCTGGGGGAAGGGTGAATGTTAGCTGTTGCTGCTGTTGGGAATAACAGCTCCCACCACAGTCCCATGTATTCTGTAATTCCTGCAGCAGCAGGAGCCAACCTGATTTTCAGGGCTTTGTTATTGGCAAAGTAGGCAGTGAGAGCATGGCTGTTTTTCACCCTCTCCTGTTCCCTCTCCCCCTTTAGCAATCTGCTGCTCTAGGAACTGCCTTTGCCTATAACTAACCCTGGCAAGTGTGACATGATGTTATGGATAATACTACATGCTTTAGTTTTGCATTTTATGAGCAACGAACTACTATTTCTGCAAACTGCCTTGCACCTTTTTCTCTAATGCTAATAATAAGATTCCAGCTTTTTCCACTGTGTTTCCTTTTCCGCATGTAAACAGTAATTGTGACATCTATTCAAATAGAAAAAAAGTTGTTTTATCAGTCCCACCAAATACATGCAAATGCCCACTAAAACCTAAAAATGCTTCAATGGATCAAATACATTATAAAGATTTATCTGTTTTTTCACATTAAAAAGTTCTGCCTCATTTAGATGTGAAGGTACTAAAAGGTTGTTTGATTTGTAGAAATCGCCTGACTTGAATTCTGCGTGCACTTCAGTGAAGATGCAGAATATTTTCACAGTCAAGAAGACAGTCAGCATTTCCAGTTCAGCTGTTTAAATCAGATACGTGACTTAGCTATACCAAGCACTTCAAAAATCTATATGAGCTGAAAATGATCTTTTTCTGTCCATGTACCTGGGTGTGATTCCGTCTGCAATTATGTGAGTCAGAGTTTAGCTTTTAATTGGAGCAGGAGTGAGCTCTTTGTTTTGTGCCATCTGTGCCGTAATTTCTTTCAAGCACAAGTGCTCTTAAATAGCTGAACTCCTTGATTATTTATTTATTTTATTAAATTAATAATTATGTAAATGACTTCGGCATTGCATTTACATTTGGTCAAAGACATATCTATTTCTTACAAGAGTAGTGTAGGAAGGGTAAATGTGGAGCACCCACTTAATGTTGTACTTATTTCACGGTGAGAGTACAAATCCTATTTCGTAAGATGGTGTCAGCATCTTGGATGGCGAGTATTGTAGAAAAGCAATTTTACTTTTGCCAATGTACCTCTTGTAAAGGTCACTGATGGAAAAACCCATTCTACAAAAACTGTGATTCATGAGATACCTCCCTCAAAACTGTTGAAACTGAATTTCTGTGGGAAGAATAGATGGGAAGGAGAGAAAGAGATGGAGAGCGCTAGTATGCGTAGTGTGTAATCTGCTATCCATTCACAATCTGGCACACTTCCATTGCTAAGAGGAAACTGAAACATGTAGACTTTCCTTTTTACTCCTGTGAAACAAACCACAGAACCCCATAATGCAGGCATCCATGCCATAGGATACTGCTAGTCACACCGATCTGTCCCCTGTGCGTATGTATATTACATACAAAATGCACATGATCACTTTCACTGGAATGCATTCATGGGAAAAATGTCTCACAGTCCCTCTCTTTTCACACCATCAGGATTTTAGGGAACAATATACTACAGAGAAATTTTGTATGAAGTTTTCTTTGATCCTTAAGGAAATGTTGCTGTTTGTTGTAGATGTGGGTAACATTTGTTTAAACCAAGCTTAATTTTTACTATATCCTTTTAGTTCTAACATTTACATTTAAGAATGAAAAAAAAAATCGAATTAATGCATAAATCTGCTGTTGAATATATATCATGCCAATCATTTTCGTATCTGCATATTATGAGAATTGCAGCTCTCCTCTCCACTTGTGACTACTCTGATGGTTGCTAGGCACTACTGTATATACTGCAGGATATACATCCGACTTGACAGTCTGACATAACTCTGGTGTAGGCCTAGCTCTTCTGAGTGTTGTGAACCATATGACAGGTGGTCCTGTCCAGCAGTGTGTACAAGGAGGTATTTCATTTAATTAATTTGATTGGATGTAGGATTCTTAAGGGAAGAAGTACTTTATTGGCTTATTATTTCAGTGCCTGACACCTTTACATTCAGAATAGTGTTCAGAAAAGAGAAAGCGGTTACTAGTTCTGAATCACTGATGGAGAAAATATCCCTACCACATGGTACTGAGGAAATGCCACATTTCTGGTATCTTTAAATCCCTGAAGATAAGAAAACTACTACCCATCCACAGTGTCTGAAAACTGCTCCTGTAAAGCTGGCGTTATGGCTGTTGTCAGGTTTTGTACAGTATATGGAATGTTTGACTCCCAGTGATCTCGATCTGTCACATCAGAGCTAACTAACTCCTATCAGCGTGAGGCTCTAAAGATAGCGCTATAAAAAAAAA